TTTTCAATCGACTGACTTTTCTGTGGGCTACTGGGCTGCATCTTGTTCCTCCTCTCCCCTTGCCAGGGCAGCTGTAATCTTGGTGGCGTGTTACGAGGAGGCCCACCCCCTGGTGCAGAAGCAGCTGGGGGACTACGTGCACAACGGGTTCCTGGTGCCCGTCATGGGGCCGGCGCTGCACAAGGTGAGGATGAGGGTCCCGTGGGGCCGGATGGGGGTCCCTCCCCCTCCCCAGGACACCCCCCGTGCCCTGCCCCACGCGCTGTGCCCCACAGAGCTCGGTGGAGGAGATGATCGCCAGCACGGCCTACCTGGAGCTCTTCCTGCGCAGCGTCAGCGAGACGGCGCTCCTCAAAACCTTCCTGCGCTTCCTGCTGCTCCACCGCCACGACAGCACCACCATCCTGGACACCCTGGTGGGCCGCATCAACAGCAACTCACGGGTGAGCCCCACGGACACCCCACAGCGACCCACAGACACCCCACACCGACCCACAGACACCCCACAGAAACATACACCCACCCATGGACACCCACATGATCCACAGACACCCACAACAGCACCACTGTCAACACCTTGGTGGGGTACATGAACAGCAAGTCATGGGTGAGACCCACAGACACCCCACAGACACCCCACAGACACCCCACAGCGACCCACAGACACCCCACAGACACCCACACCAACCCACAGACACCCACAACAGCACCACCATCCTGGACACCCTGGTGGGGTGCATCAACAGCAACTCACGGGTGAGCCCCACGGACACCCCACACAGTCCCACAGACACCCCACAGCGACCCACAGACACCCCACAGCGACCCACAGACACCCCACACCGACCCACAGTGACCCACAGAACCACACACCGACCCATGGACACCCCACAGAACCACACAGCGACCCACAGACACCCCACACAACCACACACCCACCCGTGGACACCCACATGATCCACAGACACCCACGACAGCACCACCATCCTGGACACCCTGGTGGGCCGCATCAACAGCAACTCACGGGTGAGCCCCACAGACACCCCACAGTGACCCACAGACACCCCACACCGACCCACAGTGACCCACAGAACCACACACCGACCCATGGACACCCCACAGAACCACACAGCGACCCACAGACACCCCACACAACCACACACCCACCCGTGGACACCCACATGATCCACAGACACCCACGACAGCACCACCATCCTGGACACCCTGGTGGGCCGCATCAACAGCAACTCACGGGTGAGCCCCACAGACACCCCACAGGACCCACAGACACCCCACACCGACCCACAGACACCCACATGATCCACAGACACCCACACCAACCCACAGACACCCACGACAGCACCACCATCCTTGACACTCTGGTGGGGCGCATCAACATCAACT